AACAGAAAGTTAGAGTATTCACATTTTATTACTTAAAAAACATTACCTCAATATATAAACTACCTCATGAACCCAAGCCTCTGCAATCATCAGGCTCATATAAACCTTAATATATTCTGTTTTCTGGAAGGAAATATTAACACCTGTTTAAATCCCCTGCACAGAGAAGAACCTTTCCCTGGGAGGGTTCCTGCACTCATTTTGCCAACTTCCAGATCATTAGAACTAAGGTTTCTTTTTGCTTCTCCCAAAAATATAATTTATTACATAACATTTACAACTTAAAAAAGAATCCTAGAAGATTTTTATGAGTAATAATTAGGAGAGTAATGTTAGTGATGTCTCTGCTGGGTGCATGAGACAGTGGGAGTTATTCACGAGCTGGTCATTTGGGACTTGTCAGCTCCTCCCAAACGTTCGTAGAGCTCCCAGGGACTGCTCTGGTGTTTGGAAGGAAGTGGGTGCCAAAGCGTTTGATTTGCTCTCTTTTGGTGTTTTGGCTTTCTTGTTTTGGAGTGATATTTATGAATACTACCCATAGGACAATGATTAGTGGACTTTTTATTTAGTTTGGGAAGGTGAAGAGAAACTTCCAAACCTCTGGGTGGTGGAGGGAGGAGGAGCAGGGCTAGCAGGGCCAGCATGAATGGGTGCTAACTGGCTCTGCCACTTACCTTCAAGACTTAGAATATCAAACTCATCACCTGTGGTGGGTAGTGGTGGTGGGAGTGGCCGTTTAAATTATTCTACAGAAAAACACACACGGAGGGGAGCAGACTAGGAGGACCACTGCTGGGCCAAGTTGAGCCTGGATTCAAAATTCTATAGCCAGTTTTGGTCATAGCCCGACTCACTACTCATCCGAGTTGTTAGCTGGCTACCCCAAACCCGAGATCAACTGTCCTGGGTGAAGCCACTACTAGAGTTGTCTGTAGACACACACAGGATGTTAAGAAAGCTAGCTGTGGGCATAATAGAGATGAGGAAAAAGTTGGCCATAACTAGTCCAATAAGTGAGAAAGGAAGTACAATGCAATGAGGGTAGGTTTTGGAATCCAACAGATCTGGGTTCAAGCCCCAGTCCTGCCCTCTGCTTATCCAGATGGCCTTGGATGGATTACTTCTCTGGTCCTCTGGTACTCACTGCCCAGGACTGGGATAGAAAGGCAGTACAGGAGCCTTTGTGTTCCTGTTAGTGGAACTGAAAGGGAGTGATTGTAATGTTCTAGTTGTTTGGGCCTTATAATGACTGCTTCTCTTTGAGAACCCTTACTATCTTATGTTTAATTCTGGCTCATCTTATGAAAAGATTGCAAACATTTCTACAACCAAAACTGAATTCCCTCTCGTACAGCAGATTTCCCTGGGCTCCAGGATGAGGACAGAGTGGCTGGCAGAGGTGAGGCTGTGGGACTGGACAGTAAGTTAGTAGAAGTGAGCAATTGGCAGTGTCCAGGCTGGGGCAGTGGTGTGAGGTTGGGAAGAGGGGAAGTAGAGGAAGCCATGCTCCATAAATGTTTATGCCCTTTCTTCCCTTGTCTTTTCCAAGCCATATCTCTATTATTTTTGGTTGCTCTATTGATATTTCTAATGCTTAAAGTCCTTCCCTGTTCCAACATTTTTATCCACCTGGTTGGCCTTTGCTTCTGCAGAGATTAAACACTGCCCTTTTGTTTTCAGAAATAAACCCCAGGACGCTGCAGAGCTGGAGGGGCTTCTCAGGCAGATTCCACCACCAATCTCTGACCTGCCAGAGCTGTAGGGCTTGGCCCACCTGCCCGGGGAGAGGCTGGGGCTGCAGAGGGAAAGTGGGCCTTGGGAATGATGATCTGGGAGTCCTAGGCCTGTTGCCCTGTCTGGTATTTTCAAGCTTTTCTCCATTTGGCGATAATGCCAACATCCCACAGCTGCAGTGTTTTAGGGCACGAGAGGAACTGGGACACTCTCTCCAAATAACAATGAGAATTTGTTCTGAGCCTTTGCGATAAGAAAGGAGAAAGAAAATCATTCCTAGAGGCAGAAGGAGCATAAAATCATCTCCACAAGACAGAGTTTTCATTACCCATTATCAGGCGTTCAAATAAGCACTTTGGAAGCCCATCTTTCGGTTTAAAATAAATGGTTCTTAAGTCTTAGGTTATCTCAGCCATGTCTTGTTTTAGGAGGAAATATCTGATCGGGGAGGCTGTGGGTGAGCTCTTTTATCCCGGGCTCAGCCTGGCAAGCTGCTCCGTGATGTGGATGGTGGTGCTGAATTCTGCTCCAGGCTCTCTTTAGTGGGAAGTGTGATAGGGGAATCCATTCGAAGGAGGCATCCCCCTGATTGAGTCATCACCCCCACACTGAAATGAAAAATCCTGGATAGATGCAGTGTTTTAAAATCTCTATCGGATGTGATTTTACATTGAGTTTCTTCATTTTCTTTGAACAATGCAAATACTTCTTCTGTGATTCAGCTGCAAAGTTAGAATTGCAGGACTCCAGAAATAAATCTCAGTGAACCTCTCTCTCTTTTAATTAACTTGAAAAAGCAAAACCTCTTAGGAGCCACATTTAATACACAGAGAAAGACAGAAGAAGCAGGAACTGCCTTTATTCCCCACATGTAGAGGCTGAGTGAAGAATCAGCACTTACAGAAAGTGCACCCAGTGGAGTCTGGGGTCCTGGCTGGGCTGAATTAACAGAACCTAGAAGAGGTGAAGGGTGAGTCTGTGAGCTGGGCAGCCACTGAGCTTGGTGGCTAAATGAACAAGCTCTTGATTATTCTGAGCTCAGCAAACCATTGCCTGGGTGATCTGGGAATGCTCTGGACCAGGGGTGGGCAAACTTTTTGACTCGAGGGCCACAATGGGTTCTTGTTTAAACTGGACCGGAGGGCCGGAACAAAAGCATGGATGGAGTGTTTGTGTGAACTAATATAAATTCAAAGTAAACATCATTACATAAAAGGGTACGGTTTTTTTTTTTTTTTTAGTTTTATTCATTTCAAACGGGCCGAATCGCGGGCTGTAGTTTGCCCACGGCTGCTCTGGACCCTCTGCATGAGTTACAGAAAAAACAGGGGCTACTGTGTCTGTAAAGCAACCTAGCCCAGGGCCTGCCTGCAGGCACCTCAGGTAGCTCTGGTGTTACCAGGGGCCCTGCCCCTCCGCCTGCGCTCCCTTTTGGGGAAACAACCATTTGGTCTCTCATGTCTCCTTTTCGCTCTCTTCCTCACTTGGGGCTGTCTGTCACTTCTTTCCCCTCCTTTCTCTCTCCATCCTCTCAGAGCTGAACCTTCAGGGGGAGGTGCCTGTTTCCAGAGAAGAGGGACCCTCTGAGTTACCCCAAGGCTGCATGTCAGGGTCCAGCCTCCCTCTCCCCAGCTGCTTCTAGGCTGAGCTACCCGCTGACTGGTCCCAGCTCATTCCCGTCTCCCCTCTTGCTGTACCTTCTGTGTGCTGTTCCTTCTGTACCTAACAATAAGCCTGTCAAAACCACACCCGCTCCCTTCCTTACACAGAAATGAGCCTGTCAGCTTCCCTCTCCCAACTCCCAGTTCTTCAACCCTCCACGCCCTCTCCCAGTTCATCCTCCTCCTGTCTCTCACCTACCGCTCACTCTGCAGACTTGGCCCTCGTCCTTATTTAACTCCTTGGCATCTTGGGCAGTTTCCCTGGCCTCTGGCCTCAAAGACCCTGCTTCTCCTCCATTCTCAGCCTTTCACAGTTCACTCCCCTAGTTGGAACCCTGTGACACTGACAAATATCTCCTCCTTTTAAAAGAGCATCATTCATGTCATTTATCCTGAGATAGAAAATCACATCCACAGAAAAGGAAGGAATTTCAGCCACAGATTGTTTGCAAGGACCCCACAGCCCAGACAGAAGGTCCTCATGATGAACTTCAACTCACTCCACTTGCTCCTGTCCACCTGGGAGCTTCCCACCAACCATCCAGTTTCCCCTTCAGTTCTGCTCCGGATCCTGCCTTCCCCGGAATGGCTAACTGAAAGCTGTGTTCACTGCTCAGATGAGTTGGTCTGGGATAAGAAGGACCTGGTCGTGTTTAGTGACCAGATTGAATTTCTGCCTAGTGAATGCACTGAGAGGCACACAGCTACTAGTGAAGAGGCAGGAAGATTAGATTCAGTGGTATCTTAAGGCGAGAACCTTTGGTTTACACCTCTTTTTTATTTTTAATGGTTTTGGTCAACCAAACCATTAAGGGCTTATCCTTAGTAAATATTCTTTAGAATTTGAGGCAAGTCTAATTGTTTATTTATTGTTGTGTGTGTACATGTGTGGTGATAGTTCGGTGTGTGTGTGTACATATGTGGTGGTGGTTTTATGTGTGTGTGTGTGTACATGTGTGGTGGTGGTTTGTTATATGTGTGTGAGGGTGTACATGTGTGGTGGTGGTTTAGTATGTATGTGAGTGTACATGTGTGGTGGTGGTTTGATATGTGTGTGTGTGAGGGTGTATATGTGTGGTGGTGGTTTGGTGTGTGTGTGTGTGTGTGTGTGTGAGGGTGTACATGTGTGGTGGTGGTGGTTTGGGGTATGTGTGTATGTGTGTGTGGACATGTATGGTGGTGAACTGTGTGTGTATGCGTGTGTGTGTGTGTGGACATGTGTGGTGGTGGTGTGTGTGTGGACATGTGTGGTGGTGTGTGTGTGTATGTGTGGACATGTGTGGTGGTAGTGTGGTGGTGGTGGGAGTATGTCTGTGTGGACATGTGTGGTGGTGGTCTGTGTGTGTGTGTGTGTGTGTGTGTGTGTGTGTGTGCATGTGTGGTGGTGGTGTGTGTGTGTGTGTGTGTGTGTGTACATGTGTGGCGATGGTGTGGTATACTTTCTCTTTTTACCGAAACTCTCCCTCACAGCCGCATGACGGATGATGATTGCTTTTTGTGGTGCCTACTACATTGCTCTCCACTCAATGTATATTGTTACCCGACTCCCATTCCAACCCTGGGGGAATCTGGATTCACAGAGGAATAGAGCCTTCTTATAAAATCTGGAGTATGATCGCAATTTTACTTTTGAAGCACTGACTTCCCAGAGGAATATCCAGTGATTGATGCCACTGTCAGAAACCCAGATGCACACACTCATACATCAGCCGGGAAATGACACAAAGAGCTCACCCATCAGCCAGGGCTGACTCACCCACTTGCTCCCCTCTGGGAAGAGAGCTCATAGGAAACCCAGTGCAACAGCAGGGAGCAGGCAAGAAAAGGAGTGTGCTGGTGGTGCGGCGTGCTTTCTCTTTGTGCTGAGACTTTGGAAGAGGATGGGGCTCTCAAGGCCCACCAGGCTTTGGTCCTTGATCATCTTCTGAGGGCAGCAGCCACAGGCTATGGTCTATAGTAACACTGCGGTGTGACCAGGATCTGGGCAGTTATTTCATTTGTCAGGGGAGTGTGCTTCAGCTGGGTTTCATGGTACACATACAAGGATACAAACAGCTCTACACACACAACTTCAACCTGATAAAGGTACACATGATGTCCACACTTTCCTCTGGGGTGGATGTGACCTACCTAGGCTAAGCTCGTGCTACCTTGAGAGAGCAAGTCTATGTCGATTCCAGCAGGATGGGCAGCAGAGACTGGTTTGTGGCTAAGAAGATGTCTGAAAAGTAAGGATACTATTGGGGCGGAAAAGTGGAAAGCAGTCCAGTAGGCCTGCTGGCATTTCATGAATGTGAGGGTGGCTTATCGGTAGCGGCAGGCCAAAGCATTGACATTCTTTACCACATAAAAGCCCATGGTAACTGGAGGGATGACCAATGTCCGGCCAGCCCGTAGCGGGCGGGGCTTCAACTCTGGGAGGGTCCCATCGTCCACCATCACTAAGGGCTGCCCGTTCAGCTGCACTGACCTGTGGAGAAGAGAAACAGTATGGAACTCAATAATGCATTATAAGGGGGCCATCGCCACGAAGCCTGGGCAGCCCCAGAATGCTGCCTGTCTGTCTGATACATGCACAGCTATCACTTACTGACACTTGCTGTGCCCAGGCTTTCACCTAGCAGCTTTATTTTATTAATACATTCAAACATCTCAGCAACACTCTGAGAAAGAAACTGTCATTATTCCCTTTCTACCTGCAGTGGTTAAGTGACTTGCCCAAGATCATACAACTTGTAGGTCTGGGAGCCAGGATTTGAATACGAGATAACTAGTAGTTCCACAGACACATCATTTAGACCAGCGATTTAGACCAGCAGTCGCCAACCTTTTGGACCTCAGGGACCACCAGTGGTTCACGGACCACCGTTTGGTGACTGCTGATTTAAACAAGTGACAAATCTCTGAGATGCAGAAGTTGAAAAGTGTCTTTCTATCAATCAAATATATCTATATCTATATCTATATATCTATATCTATATCCATATCTATAGCTATAGCTATACCTATAGCTATATCAATTTCTATCTATATCTATGGAAAGGAGAGAGAGAGAGAGAGAGAGAGAGAGAGAGAGAGAGAGAGAGAGAGAGAGAGAGAGAGAGAGACTAATGTGAGAGAGAAACATCTACTGGGGATCGAACCTGAAATATGTGCCCTAACCAGGAATTGAACCAGCAACCTTTTGGTGCACAAGATGATGTTCAACCAACTGAACCACACTGGCCAGGGCTCATGCTTATATTTTTAAAAATCATAATAGCACTTTAGTTAGACCTGTGGACTGATGCACAGGCTTACAATGATTTCAGAAATCTTCTATTTAACTAGAATTTTTCATTAATTTGATAGCTTAGAGTGCTGACATCATATTACTTGTATAGGGTTCTGAAGAAGGGCAAAGACATAGCTAACAGTTCCCCTTTTTCTAATTTAAGAATGAGTTTTCATATCTAACATTTAACAGATGTTTTCATTTTTAGCAATACAATGAAGTATAAGGTGACAAAAGTAGGCATTTGTGATTACAATTCACCTATCTTGCCTGCCTTTATTCTTCCTGTGCAGCAGCCATCTTCACGCTGAGAGGGGGCCACATGCGTAGTGCACTTAGAGAGGAAAGAAGAACAGATCACCCATCCTTGGCCTGCAGTACAAAATCCAGACAACTTCCCAGCTGTTCCTGAGTGGGGAGCAACTTGTACAGTCACATACCCAGAATGAAGCTCAGCTTTATGGGTCAGTAGAAAAGGCCAGAATCAGGGCATGAGCTGCAAATAAGGCTGTGAGTTACCCTCAGAAAACTAACATTGCTTAGTGATGACTGTTTCTGGGCCTTGTCTAACCTTCACTGTGATAACATTGCAGTGATATCATCTGAGCAGTAAAGAGAATAAAGTGTTAGAAATTGATACAAAGGTCTTTGTTTAGTGTTCCTTCTGTGCTGTGAATGATAGACAGGTTTAGAGAGAGATAATCAGACCCTTGCCCAATGGAGCAGTGAATTCCTGAGATAAGTGTGTTGTGAATTACTCCCCATGGAGGAGAGTGAGGCAGAGAGGCAGCTCCAGGCTGGCCCTGCATGAGTAAGTTTGGGCCGAGTCCAGCTCTGACAGGCCAGAGGGTACAGCCCCCCTCTTCTGGTTGGGATGGCTAAGGAATGAATGAGCGGGGAAGAGACTCTTATATAGAGCCAGGCCTTCCTCTGGAAGGTGTGGGGGTGGGAACATCGAGGTCTGAAGATAGGAGTTGACCTCGTCAAATATGCAAGGAGCTTTTGCTCCAAATTTGAGTGGTTCTCTCTGGTGAAGACAGTCTACTCACTGGTGTGGGAGGCAAGGTGAAGAGAGGCATTTCTGTTGCAAACAAAACAAAACAAAACAAAACAAAACAAAAACCCAGACAGGTCTTAACAGTGTACTTTTATTATTTTGTTTCAGGCGGTGTGCACTGTCAAACACAAGTTCACTAATACTAATTAATCTTTCCAAAGCATACTCAAATGTGTATCACTCCTCTACTTGAAAACCTTCAATGTCCCTCTTATACACAGAATTAGGCGCAAGCTCTCCCCTTGAGGAATTGGCTATTGCCCTTTTAGATTCAGGTGACCCCAGAGCACTGACATCTCTGGCTTCCAGGCAACCAAAACCAAGTATGATAGGCAAGCCTTTTAATTTCTATACTAATAACGAGTAGTTATTCTGGAAAAGGCCCCATTCTGATTTCCTTATTGGTTGGTTAGAAAGCTAACTCGGAGTGGATGGAATCAGGCAGCATGGTCAAGATCTGGACTATCTCTAAATTCAGGAGCCCGACTGCTGACTTGCAAGATGCTATGGCAAATCTCTTAACCTTACTTCCTGCACTTTCTGCATCTGTAAGAATGCTATATAGGGTGTAGTGCAATGAAATAAAAATATGAAAGCCCTTTGCAAGTATAATGAGCCATCTAAGTAGGGAATGGTGTTTTTGTTAATCTTTTCATTGCCGTTATGAGTAGATAAACTTTTTGGTCCTAACACTTGAGTGCTTGGTGGCACTGACTAGTTTCATGGCTCCCTGCTTAAAGCCTCTCTTCCCTTGGCTCCCATGTTCATTCTCTCTGTCTCTGCCTCTCTCTTGGGTTTCCCCCTTTGTCTCTTTTCCAGGGGGACTGTTCTCTTCTACCTGCTTCTCAGATGTTGGGTTTCTGGTCTTTGTCCTTGGACCGCTTCTTTTTCCATACTATGTACTCCCCCTGAGTGCTATCACCCACACCCAGCACTTTGATTATTATCCATATGTTCATGCTTCCCAAGCCTGCAGCTCTAGCCTAGGTCCTTCCAACTTACGTATCTCCACTTAACTGTCCCACAGGAACTTCAAAGTTGCTATTTCTAAAGTAAATATCTTCTACTCAAACCCTGTCCTTTTCTCTCTTTTTAATCTTGGTGTTGGTACCACTATTTGTACAATTAGCTAAGCCAGAAAGCTGGGAGCCATCTGATATTTCTTCCCCAGTTCCTGTCTGTAGGGCCCCTACGTCCAAGCAATTCAACCTTTTAATACTTTTCACATCTGCTCCTTTCTCACCATTTACTGCTATTCTTTTAGTTCAGACCCTCCCGCACTTGCCACACTGACCTAGTAATGCTCTGTTGCTGTCACTGCTTCAAGCTCTCCAGGAACTCCCCATCCCTTCACTTGAATATGGACACTGAAGCCTAGCTCCAGCTACCTCTCCAGTCTCAGAGCATGCCGGTATCCTCACTGCAATGCTAACTCACTGTGGATCACAGACCTCTGGGTGCGTTGGGGGGGGGGGGGGGGGGACGGGGGGGATGAGCTGGCAGTTATTGTAAGGATTTCATCAATATATGCATGAACAAAGATTGCTTTACAATGAAAAACTAGTAAGTCTTGCTCATACATGAGATAGTATTTCTTAAATGAAAATGTCAGATACTGTTGGGATTAAAATACACGAGTTCATTTAAAAGTATAGTATATATTTCTGAAATGTGAATGCCAGTAGAAACTGTTGGGATTAATAAGACACAAGATGATTTAAAACTGTAATAAAATTCCCAATATGATTTTTTTTTGGAGGATGAAGGCATCATGTGCTTTTTTAAAACAAGGGTTCCTAAAAGAACAATGACTATAATGTCGACATTACGAAGGAAGCCCCCTGCTCTCCTAAGGCCCACAACCTGCCTCGGCATGACCAAATTGCTAAATGACTTGCAATTCAGCTTCTGGGTTGCTGCAAAGGAGCTCTGTTAGATTAACTGCTTGGGTAGTTGCAGGGCTTGCTCAGGTGTTGCTCTCTCTGGGGATCCTTCTCCAACCCCTGAGTTAGGAGCCCCACCTCTGGGCTCTCTTGTACCCAAACTTTACCTATAACTACCTCACCGAACTGTAGTGATTTACTTGCTCTCTTACTAGACCGTGAATTTGCTGCAGAAAGGGACCATGTCTTTTGTCCTTAAATTCTTGGTGCCTAACAAGATGCATGTCACAGAGTAGGGACAAAATATTTTCTGAACAAGTGAATGGATTTTTGAGGTTTTTTTTTTTGCATTATTTCTTGTCTTGGGTTGAGTTTCTCCAGTTCTAAAGAGGCTCCCTGGAAGCTCCCTGAGTGTCTTTACAGGTTTAATTAACACAGTGATTTTCAGCCTTTTTCATCTCATGGCACACATAAACTGATAAAATTTTGCTGCACACCAAAAAATATATTTTTTGCCGATTGGACAAAAAATATAGGTATAATTTTGATTCATGCACACTGGATAGCTATTCTTGTGTTGGCTACTGTCATTTTTTTATTTGACAATCTAAGGGAAAAGAGGTTAGTGTCCCTGACTAAATAGTCAGGAATTGCATGTTTTAAAACTTCTTGCCTCACACCACTCTGTTGTGGCACACCAGTTGAAAACTGTTACATTAACATACCAATTGCTCTGGGTAAGTCCTGAATTATCACTGATTCTCAGTCACTCACTAGATAATCCTATCCCAACCTGAAACAAGTTTCATTACTAGTGTTTTTCATCCTTAAAAAAAGGTCTATAGGACCAACTCTTAGCTAAGCCAACATGAATTAATTTTGTGAGGCCTTGAGTCCTCCTATGTCCTTATTTACAAAGTCCCTTCATTATAAAGATGGCCTATGTGCTTACCACCTTCATTCTGTTTTTCCTGCTTACATTAAAAATATTTTCTTAATTCTGTTATCCAGTGACATCATATCATGCTAGATATTACAATGTTTCATTTTTATTCATTGAACAATTTGCAAATTTGTAAATATAATCAACTTAATTATAACAGTCACTGATTACTGAGCACTATGTAAAAGGCACTACGCCATGATTTACTTGGACTACTGCATTTAGTCCTTACAACTACCAACTGAGGCAGGTGTTAGCGTCCCTATAGTACAGATGAGGAAGTAAAAGCTTACCCGGTCTAAAACTCTCCTAA